CCCCCCCCCCCCTGCGGCCTTCGGCCTCCCTAGCGAGACAGCGCCAGCGCTTGCGAGAGCAGCGAGAGTGAAGAGAGTTGCTCCCAGCCAAGCTGCGGCCCTCACGTGCCTTGTATAACCCACCATGCATACCCCAACGCGGCGCTTGTGGGGGTGTGTGCACAAGCTACGCTGCAGACCTGCAGGTCTTTGTAGGCGCCCTGCCTGCTGTACAACTCCCTTGCATTTGGTTCAGGATATTTTCCTTGTCATCCCCTCCTTGAGAAGACCGGGCTATTGAGCCAGAGTGATAAAAAAAATGATAAAAAAAAAAGTGACGGGGGTGATGCCTCTGCTGTATGTAGTCGAATTAGTTGTAGTGTTTGGGCGTGTAGTTCAGTTGTGAGCACGCAAACGTGCTGAAGGTATTGTAGGAATACCTCCTCGGGCTTGTGTACCCTTTTCTTGCTAATAGTGTGCGTGTTCCTTAGATCATCTGATGTCTCCAGCATTTTTGTGACCACGGACCGAGTCTTCGCTAGATTTCGGGTTTTGCGACTGACAACGTTATCTAGGTAATAGGGCGAATAGTGCGGGAAGACGCACTAATAGGGCTTTGGAGAACCGTGAATGAATAGTGCGGGAACGCGCACTACACATGCCCGAAATCATTTGGTTTTGTGTGTGTTTTCGTCCTATTTATCATTATGGCGACATTCCTCCATTTTTCATGGTAAGACGTATACTTCACCCATCAGCGTATGTATACTACACTTTTCAGTGTATTTTTTCGTACAACCATCCAGGGTCACACAGGAGGGGGTAAACACCAGGCCTGAGGGCTTTTTTCTTCTTTTTATTTATTTTCATGCCCCACCTTCCTCCTGCGGTGCGTGCTGAATTTTGTTCTTATCGCGAAAAGGGTCCAGCCGTCCCTTTCCCTCGTCAATGGTGCTAACGTCGAAGTTTGGTACTCACGAGAGCTTTTTTAGCTATGTTTCGCTTTCACCCGCATATTTCGTAATATTTTCACCCCACAGGGATTCGAACTCACGACCTCTGCGACTAACTAGCGGATTACGATGATACCACTAGATAGACCACCGGGCGGGGCGACCGGTCATTTTGGTGCGCGGGGTCGGTATAGTCCGGGTTCTTTGGTTTGACACGTACCCGCACTACTATGCCGACACCTCGACCGCATCAACGACTGCAGCCGCAATTAATTCCCACGGTACGGTGACTACCAAAGGTTGCCCTGTAGCCTGCAGCCACCCTCAGGCCATTGATACGTGGTAGGCAACAACGTATAGGTCCTTGGTCGGGCTTGCTTTCGTTTCTATTTTAACGCAACAAGAGGTATGATTGCTTGTACAGAGCAATATTCACCAGCATGGTCGTAGAGGGGATGACACGCCAAGCACCCTGTGGCCGCTCAGGCCACGGATGTGATCGATAAAGTTACACCCATTTGGCGATAAAGGATTCACGCACGGGTTCAAAACCCGACTGGTCACTTTCCCAGGCACCGTTCAGTTCTTTTCCGGCAGCGTCTGGCGAGGGGTCCGTCCCCGGAGATCTCTACTCAGGACCCCTAGAACGTGATCCGGCCGGGTGCAAATGAGCTCTGTGTCAGGAAAATCGTGCGTCGAGACCACCAGTAGTCGGACACGGTTTGACCTTTGAATACGATTGCAGCAACTAGTCTGCGTAGCAGTAGAAAAGAATCCATCTCTCCGTGGCATGTATTCTCTTGTTCTAGAAATATTCCGGAAGCATGCTAGGTCAAGGTTGACCGGGACATCTACGTAGAACGTGTGTAGCTTCTGGAAGCCTTCTGGAAACTTCTGGTTCCTTCTGGAAGCTTCTGGAAGCGTTCTAGATCTAGGTTGCAGTTGATACTCTTCTAGAACGTAGGAAGGCTTCCAGAAATTATTCTGGACGCATTCTGGATCTTTCGTGTTATTGGCTTATTTGTCCGGTATTCGAGGAGAGTGGTGCAGTCCTAAGCTCGCCACCCCTCTCACTCCTCTTCAGTACCAGCAACATCAATCTGACTCGGGAGTCAGCAACTAATTAACGCATGTTCATATTTCCATTCCAAGTCTCTCGCGGTTGGAGACGACAGAGTGTGAACCTCTGAGGTAGGCTACACAGCCTCCTGGCATCTGCAGCATCGTAATGCTGCTAGTGCACAGCGAAATATCGCTGACAGGTTATGAGCCTCGACTAACGCACTNTCTAGGTTGCAGTTGATACTCTTCTAGAACGTAGGAAGGCTTCCAGAAATTATTCTGGACGCATTCTGGATCTTTCGTGTTATTGGCTTATTTGTCCGGTATTCGAGGAGAGTGGTGCAGTCCTAAGCTCGCCACCCCTCTCACTCCTCTTCAGTACCAGCAACATCAATCTGACTCGGGAGTCAGCAACTAATTAACGCATGTTCATATTTCCATTCCAAGTCTCTCGCGGTTGGAGACGACAGAGTGTGAACCTCTGAGGTAGGCTACACAGCCTCCTGGCATCTGCAGCATCGTAATGCTGCTAGTGCACAGCGAAATATCGCTGACAGGTTATGAGCCTCGACTAACGCACTCACTACGAGCTGCGAACATCACGGGAAGATCAAGGCAACCTCTTCTCGGGACATCAACCTTCATCCGTGGACAACGAGAGAACCTGGTTTCGGCGATTTCTGGAGATTGCGACGCCGTCATCGGTCAACGGCAACACAAGCAAACGCGCAAACTTGGTCATCTACACCAAGGTGGTGAGGATTCACGTCGTATACACACGTTACCACCCCTGCGGCAGTAGTGGGTATCTCTGTGGTGAACAAGCAGCAAGGGTCACGTGTGCGGGAGTCTCGAGCGGCATTCGCATCGGGTGTACAAGGAACTACACTACATCATCAGTGGAGGCGATCAACAACCGGAGTCCTCTATATCAGTAGCAGGAGCGGGATCGGAAACAAGACCACAACCGGAGTCCTCTATATCAGTCGCAGGAACAGGGTGGGGAAGTCTCGGGTACAGGCAGTAGTACCACGAGCAAACTAACTCCTACAGCAGGAAGTACTTTTATCAAGACGAAGACAATAAAGCTGGAACGAGCAATGGATACCGCAACGAGCAACACAGGAGGTGGAAGCGCGTTCGCCAGCGATAGTTCTACGAACCTGGCAACCGTGATCAAAGGCCTCAAGAAGTTCGACGGAAAGGACCCAGCTGAGTTCAAGACATGGATGAAGAAATTCTGCGTGGTGTTAGGTGTGACCAGGAAGGACATCCTGCCACTGCTGAAGAAATGAAGGAAGCCAGATCCCGCAGACACAGCGGCCTTCGACTCCTACACAAGGGCAAACGAAGATCTCTACGCCATTCTTTTCCTCCTAGTGGAACTTCCAGCCGCCTTGTCGATACAGAAGCACGAAGACGACACTGGCATCAGCGGCGACGGACAAGCTGCCTTCGAGGAGCTCTGCAACAACTATGACAAGGTAACGGACGAAGTCATCAGGGCCAAGATGGAGGAGCTGGAGAACAACCCCATGAACCCTGGTGCAAACCCCGACGGCTACTTCAACCAGAAGCACCTACTTCGCACCCAGCTGGATAAGATGGGAGAACCCGTCGCCGACCGCCGCTTCAAGGGCATCTGCGTGCAGAGCTTCTCCGACGAATACAAGGACGTCAAACTGATGGTGTTCAGAGACCCAACTTTCAACGTCCTGGACATGCAATCCACCATGCGCAACATCTTCTTGGACGAACAATCGCGCAAGGGATGCAAGGGACGCATAGCTGGTCGAGGATTTGCCATGGCAANTACCAGCAAGGAGGAAAGCGCCCGGAAGACACCAAGGACTCAAGTAAAGCATTCACCGCGTGCTCCAACTGCACTCACTGCTCGTCGGCGTCCATCAAGTACGACTCAAACAATAAAGTGGCAGTTGTCGGCTTCACCCGGGACGAGGACGCCTTTGACAGCGGCTTCATGTTCGCCACGTGTTCCCGCATCTCAGGACGCAACTTCGCCGCGAGCTCCACCGGGGTAGGCCTGCTGTTAGACACATGAGCATCGGAGACCATGTTTGACAATCGCCTCATCCCCGACGGAAACCTCCACGATTACACCCAGCGGAACTCTCCAAAGATCGTGGACGTGGCCGGAGAAAGCCAACTCAAAGGCACGGCCACGGGCATCCTACACTGCACCGTCACGAACAATCGAGGACAGCAATTGCGCGTGCGGATTCAGGGACTCATTGTTCCGGGGCTTGGTCGCAACATTTTTTCGCCCACCTCCCTCCTGAAAAAGGGATTGCGCTGCGTCGTCGAAGAGAGCACTCCGCGCCTCACTATCCAAGGCAACGTGATTCCACTCACACAAGATCCGCGAGACCAAGGCATGTGCACCCTCGACATCACGTTCGAGCAGAACGTCCAGCCATCTGGCACGAAATCCCTCGTGCCCCACCAGAAGCAGTCACAGACCCACACGGCGAACGCCGTCTGCTTTACGCTAGTGAGCGCGGACACCTGGCACAGGAGGCTTGGACATCTCAATGCTCGGAGCCTGGACATCCTTCGGAAGGACACGGGTACCGGGGTGGACTATCGCGACAGTCTCTCCCCTTGCGGGGTCTGCCAGATCGCGAAACACAAGCAGTCCCCCCACCTGAAGCAATCGACTCGCGAACTATCACGGCCTGGACAGCTTGTGGTCATCGGCAACATGGGGCCTGTTAATCCACCTGCGAAAAATAAAGGAGGCTCCTTCCCGTACGCGTGCAAGATCACCGACGACTACACGAAGATGAAAAAAGTGTACCTGCTTCGCAAGAAATCTGACACGACCGAGGCGGTGCACACGTACAACATGTGCGTCGCAGCAAAAGGAGGCTACCGGATCGAGACCATCCGCTGCGACAAGGGAGGCGAGAACACCGCATCCGAATTTCGGGACAACTGCAAGAATCCAGCTATCAAGCTCGAATACGCCGCCACCAACACCCCTCAACAAATTGGTGTATCGGAACGGGACGGACAAACCCTGGCCGGAGTCACCCGGNTACCTGCTTCGCAAGAAATCTGACACGACCGAGGCGGTGCACACGTACAACATGTGCGTCGCAGCGGCAGGAGGCTACCGGATCGAGACCATCCGCTGCGACAAGGGAGGCGAGAACACCGGATCCGAATTTCGGGACTACTGCAAGAATTCAGCTATCAAGCTCGAATACGCCGCCACCAACACCCCTCAACAAATTGGTGTATCGGAACGGGACGGACAAACCCTGGCCGGAGTCACCCGGTGTCTTCTGATGTGGGGGGAGTTAATGCTGACTTCAGCATACCTGTTGAACAGGTCCCGNCGGGTCATTGGAGCGCGCGCCTTCGTACACCACGAGAGATACCGAAAGAAGCTGGACGACGGAGCTTTCGAAGGCAAGCTATGTGGTTTCGGCCTCGACACCCAGACCTACCGGGTATTGAATCCATCCAACGGGGCCGTGGTCGAGAGCCGGAATGTGACTTTCATCGAATCTCCACCCCGCTCAGTGCCCTTCCAGTATTCCACTGAAGCAAACGGGTACGAAAGCGACGTGCTGAGCTTCACCTCCCTGCTCGACAGCCCCCACTCGACGAGCGACCTGGACTTCACGGCGCAGAACGGACTACTTCGGCAAGAAGTCCGGAAGATGCAGCAAGACAATCTCGCTCGGGAGGAGCTTCGCCTA